TGAGCTTGTTTGAAACATGAATTTTTAACATCAAATTGTTATTGTTTTCTGTAAGGAGAAACTAGTGATGCAATAGGAAAAAAAAACCCTTCCCAATTTATTTAATTTCTGTGGAAATTTTGTAATAAGAACACCACAATATCTGGATGGATTAAATAGCAGGAAATGCAAATGTTTATCAAGTCAGATTTTCAATTGGCATACCTTAATATTTTGAACAAAATAAGAATATACAGAGTGAAAATGAAATTAAGAAGTGATAGAGCAGACAATAAACAGAGGCTGTCATTTACAAATACCTCTTCTTTAATCCCAAGAAAGAAACAAATGTTTCCTTTTCTTTGAGTGACACCAGACGCCATCACACTGGAGGCAACAGTGCAGTTGGGTGCCATTCTTTACACAGATGGATAATTTTTCTGACATTTGTCCATGCTGGAAAAGTAATATTTCAGGCTGTCATATCATATTTGTAAAATTCACAAATCTAAATGAAAGCTAATCTGAAAGAAAGTAAACACTATTCATATTTTGTGCTAAGAGTATGGTTTCCCATTTGCATTGCATAATATTATCAGACAGTTTGCATAGTAATTATAAAGCACAATGCACAACATGAATTATGATTATTAGTTATATTTACAGTGAACATAAATTGTAAGAATATTGAGAATCACACACTAAAAAAAAGTAAAAAAACTGTTTATATCATCCACATATGCTTTCAATCCATCATACTATTACTTTAGTTGCATTATGAGGAACGACATTGGCGGGCACAAACCATGATGCAACAGCTACATCGCTGTAGCAATGCTCTCCCTCGCTATAGTGCGGCACTATGGTGACAAAGCGGCTAAAAATAACCATGCACTGCCAGCACAGCAGAGTAACAACAGCACTGGAGGGGCATGTGTACACACACCCACTATGCTTTAAATGTTCATACTCCTTTGCAAATATAAAAAGTGACATCTTAACACGCCTTATCTTACTGGAAAATACAGTAAAATCAAGGTAAAGGGAATTCAAAATAAAATATATAAAATATTGTTTATAAAAGTGCAGTGAATCTTCCATCCAGGAAGAGCACACACCAACTGCTGAAACTTCCTTTGCCTGATGAAGGGTTTTTGAACCCTAAAGCTTGCTTATAATTGTTTTCCAACTATTTAAGTTGGTCTAAAAAAAGATACCAGTTTCACCCAAAGATTCTTGTCTGCCTATGTCCTTAGACCAACACGGCTACAACCTGCACCCCTGTGAATCTCGGTAGGCACTGAATTAAAAATAAGGCATTTCTGATGCATTACTGTAATAACATAGATGCATTATACACTGCACTGGTAACATTTAAAAAGCATATAGGGGTGAAGTGTAATGCTCCCCAGTAGCCCCAGACCTATTTTATTGTTTGTTCTAATCTCTCTCCTCCAAAGGAATGAGGAGACTTCTAATCGTTGAGCTCAAGGCCAAGGGTCTAGAAAATGGGCATCTAGGCTTAGAGTCCTAAGCTAGTACTTCAGCTCAATGGAAGAAGTTTTTGAAAAATCAAGCTAGTTATTTCCAGGCTCAAATATGTATTCAGAAGCCTAATACAAGGCAATATGTATAAGTTTTTAAAGAACTTGGTTGGTGTTTGTGTGCTGCTCAAGGCATGTGGCAAGATGCTGTATTCAGCAAGGATTGTAACCCTGTAGGTTACAGAAATCTTTAGGGGAGGGGCATAATTTAGCCATGAGGGTAGGTGGATCACTTGTGATGTATATGAACAATTTTCTCATCCCAGTGAATGGAAAAGGTCACTCAAGCTTTGCTGATGGAAAGCAAATAGGGACCAGTTGTCTTTCTGCTGTATGGGGGAAGGAGCTCTTCTCTAACTGCAGACCCTAATTAATGCACAATATTTTAGACTCTCAGATTGTGCACTAATAAGACTCTGGGGTTTGAGAAGTGCTTTCCAAACAGTGTCCTGCTAAAGTCTGGGGTCCTGTGATAGGTAATCAGGAGTTCTGCAGAAAGACTGGGGCTAACAGGGGAACGGGCCAAGAGGCACTACACCATTCCCAGACCAATTTGCCTGGTTCTGCATTAGTCTTTAGGACAGGAGTAGGCGTTCCATGACAGAAGAAGTGATATGAAAGGATTCTGTGACTTTAGGAAATTTTAAAACCATGTATAGAGAGTGTCTTAGAGAGACATGGAAGAGCTGAGAGAGAGACCCTACTTAGGCCAATACTGTTAAATACATATTAATATTATTAATACTATAATAGCTCCTAGGGCACATACCTTTATTCAGGTCTCACAGAAATTAGTGAGACCTGAATAAAGAATTCAAAGAATGTCTTCACTTTAAGAGATGTTCTTTAGAAGTGCAACTGTAATTTTTTATTTTTATCTCAGGCAGTGGTAAGGATGTTCTATTGTCTTCAAGTATTCCATAGTCCTTCCAATGGAGTTTCATTATTGGAAAATCCATTATAATTGACTTCTATTTTATATATTTTTTATAGGGGAAAGCAAACAAACGACCAATACAAACCAAGAAAATGTAGTCCTGTAAAAATCTGTGATCATACCCTTTTCCGGCCCTGACACTGTAGTCTGTGTAGTTGGATCCCTATATATATGTGTCCACCCACTGGAGGTCATTGCAGCCTCTGGACATAAGTAACCCCAGTAATGTTACTGTAAAACCTGGCTTCTCTTCTCCTGTTTCCCAGTGTGCTCATTGTGCCATGCCTCAATATATTTATTCATTTATTAGATTTATATCCCACCCTATCCAATAACTTCAGAGTAAGTGGCTTACAATAAAAAGACAAACAACCCACAGAGAGAAAAAAAATGTCTTTTCCCCAAGTAATAGCCCCAAACCTGAGAACTCCATCCTCCCCACACCTGCACCCTCATCTATGGCTTCCCTGTGTACACCCCGACACAAGCAAACCCTACAGACAATCCCAGCTGTGCTTCCTAACCACCATTTACATCCAGATATAAGAAAGCTCTTCCTACTTTTTTTTCCCCACTCACTTGCTTCACCTCCTGGGGAGTTCCCTCCACCCTCCTCCAATGCCCCTTCCAAGCCTGCAACCCCTTCTCCTTCAAGGTCTCTTTGGAGTAGAAATTGTATTTCCTTTAAGACACTGTAGGCACCACCAACAGTAAATAATTAAATAACAATAATTACGTACGGTGAAGGTTTTCAACAGTCACTTGGAATCTCTGAATGGAAGTCTGACTTAAGATAGGTGTTTGTGCTACTTGATCCCCAGCAGCTCACTTCTGACTGACTGCACTGTTGATCAGAACCAGATAGATGGCTTATTTTACTTGGGTGAGGGGACATTTTGCTTAACTAAGTGACTTTCTTTGCTGCCATAGATGCTTATTTGATTATGCTAATATGTTCAAAGCGTCTTATCTATATCAGCTAGATACAGAACTGTTGCAACTTCCAGGGAAACATATTACAGCCTGATTGCTGCAGGTTTGACAGTAACCTTTATACACTGTCATTTGACTGGTCAGTCCAACTGACAGAGAGGGAAAATGCTATGATACATAGATCCAAAGTTCTCTTGAAAACATACATCTTTACACCTACATTAGTTTTTGAATCATCCAGTCACAAGCTAACACATACACATGGCTAAGTTACATCTTACTATTTATTTCTCTTGCATTACCATGCTGATCTACTTTCTTCTGGTCAATTTCCAAGTCAAGAAGATACACCCTGATTGGCAAGATACTAAATAAAGATACATTAATAAATTCTTAACTGCTTAAACCTTATGCAAGCCTTCTCTTCGGGGACCTTATAGAGTTCACCTTTTCCTACTACCATTGGAAAGCCTAGCCCTGGCACAGCCAACAAGGATTTAATATGGTATTTGGTGTCTTAGAATGTGATGCAGTTAAGTCCCTGACATTTGGTGTCCTCCTTCTCTCATCCAGAGGAACTT